CAGACATGTGTTTCGCCGATATTCTGCGTGACACAGCTGTGAGGTGTTCGGCTCCTCAGTGGGTTCCTCAGCGTTCCTTATGCGATTTCTAGTATATGAACTTCGGGAAAGAATCAAACGAATAATTTCAGAAATTATTCAGAGCAGCACATGGATTTAAGTCTCCGGGACATGACTTTTAGGGTCAGACCCGAGATTTCAATAAACCTTTGAGTCGAAGACAACTCAACTTCTGACCCTAAAAAGTCACGCTCGCAGACTGAATACTTTCTGAACTTATTCGCTTGAGTACATGTATTAGTCTGAGCTGTCGGTCTCGTGCAGGAGGCCATTGCCAGAGAATGAGAAGGGGGTAGGAATGCAGGGAGTGGTGTTCGCGAGAAGGCGGAGTCCACGCCGTCTAACGGTGGCGCGACTGCATGCACCCCTGACTGGGAATTGGGTTTTGCCTCTTGACCGCGGGGACGGAGCGCGTGACAGCAGGGGAGTATATCAACGTGTCTGTTGATGCTCTTGGTGTAAGACACCCAGGCCTCCAACAGTTCTCGCCCCGTCTTATTTCTGGCCCGCACCATTACAAGATATATTTAAATTCATAAAGATATCGAAAGTCAATAGAAATAACGCATACCACATAAGTCTCCATTTTTTTCTGAATGATGTCATTGCAGGCGGCCGAAAAGAGGCGCAGTTAAAAGCCAATATCCAAGCGTGTCTGGCATCCGACGGCATTATGCCGCAAAATAATCAGGGCTACAACCTCACTAGAGTAATCCTTTTTACTCGAACACGCATTAGTTCAACACTTCATGAGATCGGACGCTAACTGTAAAGAGTTAACTCGTGCTCAGATGACCGCGGTCGTTGTTAAAAAGAATAGAGTAAATATGCAAAATGAAACTGACCAGATAGTGAGCAGAGTTGACCCCGTAAAGGAAATGGATGCAGATACCACAGTTTAGATTAAGACGAGTGTGTGGAGGCCTTGGATGGGACCGTGGCAGATGCGGCCTGGACAGACTTATTCTGAATGCAAAGGACACAACTCTTAACTTGTATGGCCACTGCTTCTTTCGTTTCCTCGATGTGCTGAATCTACAGCCATTTAGGGTTAGCGGGCAAACACACGCAGTGGTCGGAAGGACTTTATCGGCGTCAACTCCGTGACCAGTGTTGAAAAGCTGGTCATGAAAAGAGTCTGGTGCACTTTCGTGAGGCAGATTAGCAAGTCTTCCAACACCACAAACCGACGTTCTGGGCCCGGTATGTGGATGATACCTTCGTCGTTATCGATCGGGATCAACTGCTGACATTCAAGGAACGTCTGAATGCGGTCTTCCCGGACATACAATTCACGATGGAGGAGGAAGAGAACAACCAGCTGGCCTTCCTGGATGTCCTCGTATGCCGCAAGGAGTGCGGTGGACTAAAGACCAATGTGTTCAGGAAAGCGACAAATACGATGCAAGTACTGAACTTCAACAGTAACCACCCAATCAGCCACAAGCGCAGTTGTGTAAGGACGCTCTTTTGGCGTGTCGAAACGCACTGCAGTGAGCCGGAAGACAAAATTGCTGAACTACAATACCTCCGACGGGTATTCAAAGCCAATGGCTACCCGAGCAACTTTGTCAACCGGTGCATACGCAAAATGGACGAAAGGCCTAACCGCAGGGACACCAAAGTTTGGCGAGCGCTTCCATATGTCAAGAACGTTTCTGAAGCTCTTGGCCGCCTTCTCGCACCGCTGGGGGTTGGAGTTGCACACAGGCCAGAGGCAACCATCAGGCGTCAACTGATGAAACCGAAAGACCCACTGCCACGGCAAGAAACGTCTGGAGTCGTTTATCGGATCTGGTGCAGTTGCGGACAAAGCAACTATGTCGGAGAAACCGGAAGACAGCTCCGAACGCGAATGGCCAAGCACGCTGCAGCAGTGCGGAGAAATGACGCCAGCTCTCAAGTTGCGGCTCATTCGACAGGTTCCGGCCACACATTCAAATTTGACGAGGCCGAAATTCTCGCAAGAGGTGACAACCGCGTGAGCCGGGAGCTGCTTGAGTCATGGTTCACTGGCCCCCAGTCTATTAACAAGTGCAATGATCTTCCCATTCAATACAGCGTGCTGAGACTTCGTCTAGGCGGAGAAATTGGCCACGCGGGGAGCGCCCTGATGAACACTTTTCCCAACACCCGGGTCAGCGCGTCAGATGGTCGAGCAATCATCACACTAACATCCAACGCACGTGATGAAATTGCAGCAATTAACGACGCGAATATCGACCATCACGCCACGTGCAACGATCCCTGATGAAGGGGAGGGAGCCGTGAACATTTATAGGTATGCGGTGGCATGGCTACGGCATCCTACAAATACTGCAGCCACATGTGCATGAACCACCCTTATCTGCTTATGTCTCTGATGATGGATTCGAGCAGGAATCCGAAACGTCAGGCTAATAAAGCTCTTGTCCCGGCGATCGTGTCTTCTTCTTCAAGATTAGCAAGTTTTTGCTAACAAACACGTAGGATCAAGCGGGCAAAATATCCTGCCCCAGAGAAAAGCAGGACGTGACTGTCACACACGAAGGTTGCCTTCGATCGAACGTGTATAAAATATTTGAAACTGAGGTGTTAAAAGTGCTGCGAAAAAGCCGTAATGATAGATAAATTAGGAGATTTTTCTTTCCACCTTATGTGTTTTAGGGCCCTCTTCTATTTTGGTTGATAAATACTGCATTGTATGATTGTCTTCAAGTTCCAAGCAAAACTCTTGCATTAATTACGAAACTTGATTGCATAGATTCCATCTCTCCTACACTTACATACAAATGCTAGACATATAATTCTTGCAAGATTCCTGTATTTCTGTTAATGTTCCACCGATACAAACTTGAATAGGCTTTAGGTTATCCACTTGAGTGCATGGTGAGCGGAAAAGCCCCATTTGGAAGACTTTCGACAACCATTTGGTCGCGTTTGAGTAGCGAGATCGCAGGATTTGTGCGTAATGCAGTATGTGACCTGCATTATGAGTCCTGGTGACGGAGACCGAGACGGTAATTCTGGAGCACCTAAAATTTTGTGCATTTTACTTATTCGCAAACCCCGTCATGAAAAATAGCATCTTGATGCACAATACCTTCTCGAACAATTTTATCGAGCGAAAGGTTTCCAAACGTTACTTTATATTCGACCAATTTACCTATGCTAACAACTGTTCTAGGACAAGATTGCGCATCAGTTCGCGTTTCCATACGTCGGACTCAGGGGTAGAGCGGTGCGGACTGGAACAGCAATCTACGAAGTCAATCGGATCGCCGTTGTTGAGCCAAAAGAACGACTCACAGGTCTTAACCCATGGCACCAACACCCAAACCCTCTCATTGTGCTCCCGCTGTAAACAGACGTTGCGCAGACGAATCGTTCTCGCCGAACCAAATGCAACAACAACAAAAACAACCGGACAATTCCACCTCCAGCCTCCTTAGACGCCTCCATTGTCGCATCCGCCGCAAAACATGCGACATCCACGACGACGGCAACCACCACCGACGAGCGCAATCCCTGTGCCACTCCGCCGTCTGACTCTCAGTCCTCCGCTCAAACTCTCAACACACAAGCACACAGTTGGGCTGGTCGCGAGGACTGAGTTGGAGCGTCAACTGGAAATCTCCCAAGCCACGGAATTTGGCGCACCGTAACAGTCTCAGGCTCGGATCAAACATGCAGCAGATGAACCACATGGAGAAGGGACCGGAGAAACGCAATCGCTGCAGAGCACTCTGCAATGTCTCCTTGTAGCTTTGTTTTGGTCCTCTCGGTCGGCGAGCACCCATGGAGACATCTCTGTAGAAGAATTACTTTGACAGGCGAGCGTCGTTCATTCTCACCAGATGGCCGCTCCAGCTCAGTTACAGTTGTCTCGGCTTGGAGTGGATATTGAGGTCAGTTCCGGTCAGTTCCAGGACTTCCGTGTCTGGGATCCTCTCCTGAAATCTCAACTTAGGTATCTTGCAGAGACAGCTGAAATGGAAGTGATGGAGCTTCCGGGTATGTCTGGAGTAGACGGTTTAGGTCTCCGCCCCGTACAGCAATGCTGTTGAGAAAACCGCCTTGTACATCTTCAGTTTGGTGTTCGGTTGAAGGCCGTGGCGATTCCACACCGAAGCTTGCGGTCGGCCGAAGACCTGGTTGAGTTTGCAAAACTAACGAGCAATCTCATCGTCGGTGTTTGTGCTGCGCGAGAATGCACCCTAGAAAGGCGAAGTTGTCAAGGGTTTAGGGTTGGTTGCCGTCGACAGTGATTGGAGAAAAGTTGTATTCAGCGTTCGGTGGCGGTCAATGCATGACGAGTGCGTCCGGCCCACGAGTGTCCTGAGTCAGCCTTGGAGGTGGTTGGTCGTTTTGGAGAGCTGTGATTTACCTCTTGCTAGACAGAATCTCCCGGTTTCAGGGATAAATTAAAAGCAACGGAGATATCACACGGGTCTCAAGATCTAAGACGAACGACTACTGATCATACGCACAGGCAAGTATGCACCAAAAAATTTTGCAGTGTTTCAGTACACGCAGGAAGTAGGATCACTACAAGGTCATGGTTAATTGTTTAGGTATTCCTCTCACTGTTTTTGAGCAGATGCACAGTCCACCGATGTGATGATATCTATTCACGCCGACTCAAGCCCCATCCCTATTTATGGAATGGAAATTTGTTGTTTTTTGTCCGGATGTATGCAGTTTGTTTGGAGAATACGAAAGCCGATTTTGAAAGAAGTTCTCCCGGCACATTTTCCAGACCCGCTGGCCTAGTTTCGTCCAGAAACTTTGGGCAACTTCCAACGACGATTGATAGTAGAGATGCCGGTTCAAGTAGTTCGCTGACGTTTAGATTTTACGGGGGATAAGACTACATTCCGCGCTTTTAATGAATATGGAGACTAGGAATTGGTTGAAATATTATCTCATCTTATAATTTCTAACGATTTCCACGCTACAGTCGTCCCTGATTTCTGCGGCGAGGTCCATGATTAACTCGGATGTCAGTGAGGTGAAACGACATCTTCGACTTCTATTTCGCACAACTTACAATTTCGCATTCATAGTTCTGCCACACCAGACGACTCCGTTTTCTGACACGTCTTTGTAGATAGCGGAATGCTTTTACTGTCCTTGTATACCGGTTCCCGTGAGTCTCATCCAAATTCGATTTATCATTCTTACTCCAGTGCTTGTAGTTTTATTTTAACCAGATTGGACAGTTAGTCGTTACTGAAGTTGTTTCATTGAGGCAGTCATAAACAACCCTCGATCATTCAAAGGTTGCCCGGAGGTCTCGACGTACCAGGTCACGAACATCAGTTCATTCTTCATCCCACAGAAATCTGCCTTTCATATGTTTCATTGGCCTTCCATTCCCCGTTGGCGTATGCTCACTCTACCCAGACGAGCCCTAGAATACACCATATTAATTCTAAGACTCTCTTTTGTAAGCAATAGTTCGGAAATGTTGATTATCTGCATTTTCCTTAATATGGTTTGTGCACCCATATCCCCTGCACGGTAGAGGTAAAAAGTTAGATCGATCCGTTTGTTGCCGAAAAAACTGGACTCGGTGCCGATTACAGCCAATGAAGAAGTTCATTATGGCCGTTGGCATCTTTATTAAGCGGAAGAATAATTCGTCAGTCGAATTCGATTAGTCTGGGAACCCATAAATTTCTCACTACTTACAAATTGGGGCAAATGTGAAAATAAATCACGTAAAAAACTAGGAAGGATATGAAAAACCCTTCAGACGAATGTCACCTGTGGGCTTAAGACTCACCGACCCAGTCTAATAATAAAAATATGTAGTTAAAATATTTGACGTAAATGTCCCTCCCCCAAAGGCAGAGCATTCGCTTGCAAGTAGTCAGAAGCCGATACAAAAATAATAATTTTGGGAAATGACCTAAACGTATTCTTAGTAGGTTGACCCTATTTTCTTCGGCAGAAAAATTGGGCAGTGTGTTGGATGGAATTTTCAACATCGAGTCACGCAACAGGCGCTGACACACTCCGAACGAATTGCCCAAGGGACTGTGTCCACTCGGCGTTACTGCCTGCAAACCAATAGGGATCATCAAACATGACCAGTTCCACTGCATGCCTGCGTGTTTGTGCAACTTTATAAGTGCGTATAAATCTACCTACTGACGGGATAATTCAGTCCCCCTCCCAGCACGGAAAATCCGGTTTTAATGGCTTCTTCTTGGTGGGACCTTCACCGCACGCCCAGTCAGATGGAATCCGAGTCACTCATCTTGTTTCTGTAAAACGAATCAATTACGACCCCAGCGGTGATTGCGAGAACTGTTAATTGCAGTGCGCATAAGATCCACGGCAGCCACGTGCTATAAATACTGCACTCCTGGTGCCACCACCACCTTTATCTGCGAATGTCTCTGATGATGGATTCGAGTGAGAATCCGAAACGTCAAGCCAATAAATTTCTTGTTCCAGCGATCGCATCTTCATCTTCTGAACTGCTACTTGGAACTCGCCTGTTCGCTTCTATCAAAGCCACCACCGCAAGAATGAGTCCATTGTGTCCGGTTCAGTCTGCATAGCACTGCCAGCCAGTGCATCTGACCACGTCTCCAGTCTTCTTTGCCCTAACCTGACACCCGAGCCAGGTAAGGGAGAGGCAAGAAGGTGTAGTGGATGCTGTGTAAGTCTTCAACACAAATCTTATAGAAGCTTAAAAGAGTAAGTCTCCTGCCAAGCGATGTCATGGTACCCTCCCATCTCCTCCCACCCCACCGTCTTCAACACGCTGACTCCGTCATGCGGTTGGGGGCCAAAGACCGGCTGCCTTACAGGCCACATTCATGCGTATTTATTCATTCAGCTGCTCCTGTGGAGCAGGATATATTGGCCGAATAACGAGGCGTCTAGAAAAGAGAATACGCTAACACATCCCTGCCTGGTTAGGCAGAGGTGACAATCGATCGATTTCTAGTTCCATTCTCGCAAATCTAATCGATACGAACCACCAAGCCGACGCTAAAGAAGCCTTTACAGTTATCTACTGGACACCGGCACATTACTATAGGGGCTTTCGCGAACGGGTGCTAGCCACAGTCGAAGCAGTGGCCTTTCGACTAGTGGACCCAGCACTCTGTTGTCAGAATACGCTGACAAAAGCAGTCTGTCTGCCCTGGCCGACTCCAGACAGTGATCTCACGCCGTCCCGACGCCCTGAGAGCAGTCGCACGCACTTACAGAGCTTACAATTTAACCTAAACCCCTCTCCTCCCACCCCAACTCCATCGTACTCAACACGCTTACTGCGTCATGCGGGCGGCGTGGAAGCCTTGCCCTGAGTCGTATTTGACCGGTGCCAAATAAGCGGCCACAGGTCTTCCATTACGGCTACCTTACGTACTATTGTTTGTTCAGTAGGTGTGCTTGTGGTATTTTTTTTTGCCGCCGCGGCAAAAAAAAATACCACAAGCACACCTACTGAACAAACAATAGTACGTAAGGTAGCCGTAATGGAAGACCTGTGGCCGCCATGGCTAGAAGGAAACATTCAAACACACCTAGCAACCCGCCTCCGTAGGGTTTACGTGGAGTTCCCATTCCCTGTTGCCTAAAATTTATGTCCAACATACAATGCAACTTCTATGCATTTACGCACACAAACTTCTCTTACTCCAAACCACCTCTGGGCAGTTCCCCATGCGTTGCAGTTGCGCTGTTAACTGCCCGTTTGACGGTTTCTCGGTTTACGTAGTGTTTCCCGTCATCATCTCTCGGTTTCCAATCATGGTCCACTTGCCTCACCTCCTACGCATTCCGGAGTCCACCTAACTGAGTTGCCAGCATTCCCATTTCGTCATTAGGACTACCACTTACGCCAGCTGTCCACTAACGTTTCCAGCCCGCCTTCAACTTCCGGGTGTACACCTGACCCTGCAGGCCTTCTCTCCGCATATTCTGCAACACCCACCCCTCCCCCCCGAAACTAAAAGGCTTACAGCCTACGCCGTCCAAACATACGTCTGTCACTTTGGGGTAGCTGCTACCACAGGCATTCGGCTCTTAGACCACTGCCGTATTTACATACACCTCTACCGCCTAGCCCACGCCTTTCCCCTTCCCCCCTTCCGAAGGCCTGTAATCTACGCCGTGCCGATATCATTTCCCGCAGTACCGCTCCCTTTTACGCAAACTTACCGCAATCGACAATTCCTTCATCGGCTGTTTCCATTTCCGCCTGCTTCACAGTCTACTGTCCTTCCCAACCGGCTTTGTTAGTTGACCTGATATGCCCTTCCCTGCGGGTGGGTCATGTCGGTCGTTACCAGCTACAGCTATTCCTACTTATCGTCTACCGTGGCCGGCAGCGGCCTCAGACAGTCTCCACGTATCTCCCAGTTCCCGCCCTAAAGGCCTTCCGTAATCACTTCCTTCCTGACCTACAAGGGTTTATCGACGAGGCTTAGTGGACGTCATTGCATTATTCTACGTACGTAAATATGTTTACGTACCAAGCCTCCAAGGTTGGTCGATTAGTCGCAATCCTTGCCGTTATATGATGGCTACGTTACCACTGCTAGAGACAGCCCCCCATCCAACAGACAACGTCCGTTCAATTCCCCCATTAGTGATCCATAGGCACCTATCAGCTAACGCAGCCCTTTGGATGACAGTTATTCAACTGCTTACCACACCTTACCTCCTTCCGGAGGCTTCGCAGTACCGTAATCACTAACAACATGAACATATGAAATATTTACTCTGAATTATTAAAAGGTACAATACACTGGCCAGGTAGGGGAAATCGTCCCCGACTGCCTTGGGCCGCCGGTTGGCCACAACAGTAATATACAACAGTTTGGTTTACAATAAAAAGGGTACGCGATTACACGCTTCCAGTTCCATGCGGTAACTCCTTGTCCACCTGCAGATGAATCTTCGGAAGAGAATCCCTCATCACCAGAAGACAATGGTACCTTTACTGTAGGTAGGCATTGACAGTAAATAAACGAGGTATGTAGTATTCCCTTTACGTATTCCATCTGGGTCTTCGTTCGTTGCCTTCATCATTCGTCCATGGTTGGTTCTCCACAATCGACAGCTTCCTCTTTGACCGGCCGGTAACGGTCACCGGCACTACAGCTAGGCATGGAGAGTAAGTGGACGAAGTACACAGTCATACCTTCCAGTCTTCTGTCATCACCTTCATTGGTTGGCTTCCCCAATCGTCCATGGTTGGCTCTCCACAATCGTCAGCTCCCCTCTATGACCGGCCAGTAACGGCTACCG